CTCTCTCTGAAGCTCTTTGTTCTCTTCCTTCCCAGTACTTAGCCATTTTGAAATTAAATAATTATCTGTGTAAGTATGTGTTTAACACCTCTCTCCCCAAAGGCCATCAATGCTATGGGCAGAGAATACTTGTAATTCTACCTCATGACTGCATTACTACCACCTAGCACAATGCTTTGCACATTGGAGAAACTCCAAAATTATTTATTGGATGAATGGATGAATGAATGAAAAAATGGGGTGCAAGTCAAGGAGACAATCTTAGACCTAAAAACACGAATGTTAGCTAGCACTGGATCTCTAGGTATTTATTTGCTGTAGAGAACATGTTTAACCTCTATAATTACCAAATACGTTGAGAGAGTCATTTGCCATCAGTGGTCAATCTGGAGAGACATCTTGGGCAGTGAGCTGACGGAGCCTGCTGTGACCATGTTCCTGTTGAAAGCTTTTATCAGCAACTCAGATGAGGATGTTGGTGTACTGTTAATGAGACTGACAAAAAAAAAAGCTGGAGTGAGTGACATCATGTGTCCAAAAGGGTCTCACTCAACAGGTTAGAAAAGTGGATCAAATAACAACAGGCAATTTAATAAGGGAAAATACAGATCATTGGACCTAGGTACCCCAAATCTAATTGAGCAACTACAAGAGAAAGGACCTTAAGAGCAAAACACGTGAAGTGCATGGACGTTTTAACTGACTGCATGAGTCAGCCATGTGGCGTGCCTGCCAGAGATGCTGATTTGATGTTAGGCTCCTTTAATAGAAGCAGTGTGTGGAGAATGATCGAAGTCATGGAATTTCCCCCATCAGACCACCCTTGTGGTGCCATATCCAGTTCTGAGATGCAGATGTTGGGGGCGGGGGTACAGACTGCTGCACACTACTGATACTTCCAAACCGTGTCACAGGAGAAAGAGTTGAAGGGCTGGGGATTCCTAGTTAATGAGGAGTAGAATTTGGTAGAATATAATAGGGTTGTCAAGTAAAAGGCAAGGCCATTAGATTTATTCTCTTGTAGATTGGAAGAGACACCCAGGGCCACCAGGGAAGTGTGTCTCAGCTTAATGTGAGGAGCTGCCCAGCAAGGAGGTGGGCTCTGTTGGTTCCCCCTCTACTAAAGGAAATTACACTTCAAGAATTACACAGGAAAGTGCGAAATGAGCTGTGGGAAGCTCTCTCTGTCAGCTTAAGGGGGCCATCCCAAGGGAGAGTCCCTCCCTCTCTAGTGCATGTCTAGAACCTTGTGTAGTTTGGCCCTTTGGCATAATTGAAGTGCCAAACCAGAGAGAAATGTCCAGTTAAAAAATTGTAGAGATCTCATCCATTGTGTCTAGAATTTCCTGATCCAGCCTAACTCTAGAGAATAATCTATTTCTCTTTGTTTTTGTCACATGGGCCACCATTAGAAGCAACAGAGTGGAGGCTGAAAGACCACTTGTTATAGAGGGAATTTGTGCCTGGGTAAAAATTGGATGAGCTGCTGTTAAGGTCCCTCATCACTGAGTTTCTGTCTTCCCAGTAGAAGGCAGAAGTAAGAGCTCTGGAGTTAGGGGGGAATTAGGAAAAGATGGGGGAAATGGCATAAAGAGCCTTTACCATATGTGATGAAATACAAGGAAACTTAGAATGATGATCATATTCTATAAGGCTGTTTTTCACAATTGTGGTGGTCAATAAATATGCTTAGGTACCCCACCCCAGGAGCACTGCAAGCCCTTGGCCCCAGAAGACTGCAGAGAGATCATGGATGAGACAGAGGAAGTTCCCCTTCTAGAGAGAAAAACAAAGTGCATCTCTTCCTGCTCACATCCCATTTTCTGTTATTCTCTTTGAATCTACTTGATGGAATTCATTTTCTATGAAGGGGTCAATAAAAGGTAACTGAAAAAGGATACATGGTCAACTAAAAATTATTTTTCTTTAGTTCTCTTTCTCTTCCTCTCTTCCTTGGCTTGGACCTGAAAACTTACTTTCAGGAAAAACAAACAAACAAACAAACAAAACACATGTAGCTAAGATTGTCCATCAACCTGTGTCAGAGGGTGGCATGCAAATATTCTCATGAAAAGTTTAGCTCAGAATACATACATTTGATGATATCCATCACTAAAGGAAGCAAAGAGTTGTTCTCTCTGTTATGAAATAAATTCATTGATTAAAAGACTGCATTTTCCAAAAGAGTACACTTCAGACTAGAATTTGATATTGCTTTCTAAGCATACAGCCATAGCAATAGGAAAACTGACTTGAATTTTAAAACATAGGGATTTCAGAAATGCAGCCGGGCTTGACATTTATTAGCTGCCTATTTGCAAATAACGTAACTCGCCTATGCCTAAATTCCTTCATCTGTAAGGTAAGAATAATGATACGTACCTTGAATAGTTCTTACAAGTGTGAAATAAAATGTACAGAGGGCCTGGCACAGCAAAAAGCAAGCACTCAGTTAATAGGAGTCATTGACAGAGCTGGGGCCACACCATGGTCAGTCTTGCAGGATACAGAGCTGTGGCTGCCGGGGGCTGCAATTGGAGTGCACAGCTTAAATAGCATTAGCTTTGGGGAGTTGGAGAGAGATGTCCATTAACTTCAGATCTTCACCAGGGAAGGACACATTAATTCCAGTCACTTCTTTGATGGATACCCTGATAATATAAAGGAAGTAACATCAGTTATTGAAAATGACTTGAATTAAATTTCATTAAACTTTCTACAAGTAACTTATGCACTTCTGTAATTACTTCTGTCTGGTCACTGGGTGTCACTTGGTACCAGCCTGCTGTTCTGAAGAAATGATGTGACCACAGTGTAGTAGGCAGTGGGTACTATTAGTGTACCCATCTATTATCAGTGCCCTTGCTTCCCTGAAAGAGCCAATGATGTTCAAGTACATCTAAGTGAGAGCAGTTTGAGAGAGTCAAACTCAAAGGTGACTTTTTGTTTTTGTTTTTGTTTTGTTTTGGTGGTTGTTATTTTTTTTTTAAACGTGTTATGTGCATGTCCCAGATAGGCCAGCTAGGAAAGAGGTAATATATGGTTGAATTATCTAAAGTGCTTAAGAAATGACCCTGATGGCATATCCACAAGGGTTAGGAAACAGAATTTATTTCTTGGTTTGGCATTTTGGCAGAAATTACTTGGCATTTGTCACTTGAAAGATAAACAGAAGTTCTGATTTCCGTTCTCAAGAAAATACACTTGGCTCCTTACTTTCTCTGTGCTTACCCCTTGGTCCTCATTTTGTGTTAGAATTTGACAGGATAGGCTCAGTACTATGCATTTAGTTAATTTGATGAGTTCACATACTCTCAATCCTCAGTTATTGAATACTTCAAAGATGAATATTGCTGCAACTTGTTGAATATGCAACATACATATTATTTGAGTGGCATTTTATAACAAATGGTGATAATTTACTATTTACATAATACTTTGAAAGCATTTCAGATTAGCTTTTAAAAAAAAGATTTTTATTTATTTATTTATGAGAGAGAGAGAGAGAGAGAGAGAGAGAAAGAGAGAGAGGCAGAGACACAGGCAGAGAAAGAAGCAGGCCCCATGCAGGGAGCCTGACTGGTACTCCAGGATCATGCCCTGGGCTGAAGGCAGGTGCTCAACTGCTGAGCCACCTGGGGGTCCCCAGATTAGCTGTTATTAATAATAAGTAGTTAAATATGTAAGTGAGCTTAGTGGGCAAGAGAAAAATAAAAATTTGATTTTTCCATGAAAAGGTTGAAACTCGGGAAGATAGAAAAATACACATGTGTATTTGTCTGTGTATACATATGTGGGACAAATACATGTCCCAAGAGACCTGACCGAAGGAGAATAATTGGACCAAAATTTAGGCTGCCCGGTGAACCTGGCTAAGGTTTCACTGGAGTCAGCGACCTGCTCCCACTCCCAGGGCTTTTGCGCAAAGACTGGAAGCTGTCAGCAGCCTGGGTTCTGAGAACATTCCTGCCCCGGGAAGGAAGGCTTGTGGTGAGCTCCTGGGGCTTTCCAGCGCTGACCGCCAGCCTTGGCAACCAGGAGTAGCGAAACCTGGCCTTGAAGTTATCAAGAGCCTCTTCTAACATACCCGGCTCTAAGCAGAGGTCACTATTTTCAGGGTGACTCAAGTCCTGGGGTCAAATGGAGATGACTGGAGGGGTCTAGGAACAGATCTGGTCCTTCCAATAAGGGGACTGAGGGTAACATTAGAGTGTGTAGATTGGGAGGGTCCGTGGTTGGTTCTTCCTGGAGGAACTGCCTGGATGCCTCGTGGACCAGAGTGATGAGGGTGGATTACGTTGGCTTCCATAATCCTGGGAAACGTGTTAAATCATGAGGTCACATGAAGTGTGTGTGTGTGTGTGTGTGTGTGTGTGTGTGTGCCGGGGTGGGGGGGATACCGTGCAAGGGAGGAGGAAGTCCTCGTTTCCCGGGTCCCCCCTGAGGGAGGAGGGCTCTCCACGGCGCCGCCTCTCCTCCCCATCTCGCACTTCTCGTGGCTCAGACCAGGCCCCATCCACGTTCTCTTGCTCCGTCCCAGGCCCGCATCCGATCTCCCGCTCGGTCCAGACAAGCACTCGTGCGGGACGGGGAGGTTCGGGGTTTGTTCCGGCCGGCGCCGAGGTCGCTGCGGTCAGAGCCGGCGCGGGGAGGAGGAGGACCCCGGGCGCAGCCGTGGTGGGTGCGCCCTGCCAAGCAGGGCGGGGGCGCCGGAGCGCGCACGCGGAGGAGGGGAGGGGAGGGGAGGGGAGGGGAGGGAGGGAGGGGAGGGGAGGGGGAGGGAGGGAGCGGGTGGGGCGTGCGAGCGAGGGAGCCGCGAGCGGAGGGAGCGCGCCCGCCGCCGCCGCCCTCCTCGGGAGAGAGGCTGGAGTGAGGCTGTGCGAAGCGCCGCATTTCAATGAGCGCCGGCAGAGCCACCTCCCCGCGCTAGCGGCTGCAGCCCAGACGCCCGCGCCCCCGGCTGCTGCAGCCCGGCCTCGGCCCCGCCGCCGCCCCGCCGCCCCGCCGCCCCGGCCGCGCCCCAGCCCGCGAGCGCAGCACCAGGAGGCCGCCCCGAGCGCGGCCACGAAGACCCCGGCGGCGTCTCTCCGCGGACCGGTGCGTGGTTTGCCTCCGCTGGGAAGGGAGCTGCGGGCAGGGCCGCCGGGGACCCCGCCGGGGGCTCGCGGCGCCCGCTTCCCCCGCAGCCGGCGGGCGCCGAGGACGCCCGGGGCGTGGAGGGCAGGGCGGGCGCCCCCTCGGCCGCCGCCGCCTCCCCGCCCGCCGTTCCTCGAAGGGCGCTGCCCGGCCCTGGCCAGGCTGGCCTCGGCCGGGGCGGCGCGTACGGGCGGCTCCGGGGCTGCTGGCACCTGCGTCTTTTGTCTGGTGCCACCGGCCTCGAACGGGGAGCGGGGCGCGCGCCCCCCGCCCGCCCCGCCAGGCTGCTGGCCGCGTTGTTGGTGGAGGTGGGACCCGGGGCGGAGGAGCTGGGCGAGGTGCTTGTCGTGGTCAGAGCTGGCCACGGAGCGAGGACCAAGGCTGCGCCTAGAAGGAGTGGCCGAGCCAGGCCTCTTATTGTGTGCGCTTCCCCGTGCGCCCGGGAGGGTGGTGTGCTTGAAGATGGGGCGGTCTGTGGTGGGGGGCGGCCGCCGTGTGGGTGCTGCAAGTACATTTGCAGCGGCTCAAGTTCCTTCGGGGGCAGCGAGGCTGCCTCAGGTACAGATTAGTACCTGCAGTGCTAAAAGCGTGCAGAGAGGAAATGGCATTTTGCTCCTAGTGGGAGCGCATGCACAGCCCTGCGTTGCCCCACAAAAGAGGCTGCTTTTGAAAACCAGGTTTGCGCGGAATCACTGCTGGGTTCGGAGAGGAAATGCTTGTAAGAGGTAGAGCAAATGAAAGGTTTCATTCAAAGCAGCTCCCTCTCCGCACCTGTGACCGGGTGTCCACATTATGGTGCACACGCATTCAGCGGCCACACTGCAGGGTGTTCCGTGAGTGCGCTTTATGAATGTTCCCAAATAGATCACCTTTCCTCTGGAAAGGAAAGTAGGACAGTCTTTTGAGTATGAAATGTCACATGAAGGAGGGTCAGAAGGAATTTTAAGAGGGGTTATACATAGGAACATTATAAAAGAGTGACACACAGCCTGTGACGTGTCCAAGGTGGTGCATGCACTCTGAAGGTGTGTGTGTGTGTGTGTGTGTGTGTGTGTGTGCATCCTTCTTATTCCACGCCTGCCCATCCACGGGCATCCTGATCCCACTGGCAAAATATGCCTTGAGACTTTCAGGTCCAGCATCTATTTAGATGTGGTCCTCTTTATGCCAAATTATTCTGTGTGTGTGTGCGCGCGCGCGCGTGCACGCATGCACGCGCATGTATAAATCTCTGAAACAGGAACTCATATCCTTATCTAGAGAAGGATGAACAGAGGTTTCTCAAAATGGTGAGAAATTCCACAGAAGACAATTAAGGATACTGATTTCTTGACATGGCAGTGTTTATAGAAAAATCTCTGATAAGAGCCAGGCCCCCTTCTTCCCTTCCCAAGTGTCTATAATCTCTTCGGTTAGGGTGATGTGGTTACCTTCTCGGTACCATGATGCATGTGTGGCTCAGACCCCTAGCCACCAATGGTCTGTAAATGTGTGTCTCTGTGCTTTAGCGGTTTCCTGTGCAGAAAGCAAGAACCTGTGAATCTTCTTCAGGAGCTCGTGGTTCGAATGTATGACTAAGCCTACTGAAGAGCTGAGCCAGCCAAAGCAAGAGAAGGAACACCTATTTTGATGTTGCACATAATTGTTGGAACATTAGGGTGTATGGTGTGGTTTTTGACATTCATTTAGTGGTAGCTATAGCTTGGAAAATGATTTCACTTTGAGTGTGGTTTTTCTTTGTCACCAACATTATTGTTGACTTTTGGGCAGGCTCAGTGAAGAGAAGTAAAAGATATACATGTCCTGGTTGAACATATGAGCAAGTTGGAGGAAATACACAAATAAAACAAAATCAACTTTTGCCTATATTAAAATTGACTTTTTTTTTTCATTTGGCATAGAACTCTTGGTTCTAAAAGCCTGATTCCTCTAGGGAATTCCAACAGTTGCTAAATTATTTGGCTTTTGCTGATTGTGAATCGATAAAAGCCCTTCAGACTACATCAGGACTCTCTGGTGACACAATTGTGCCATCCTTTCCTATGGTCCTGCTTGTTGTCTCTTGGTTTATATAGATTTGGGAGGAAACCCCTAGGGTTGGAAGATTGATAACTGCCTTTAAAAATAAAACGGGAACTTCAAAAGCCAACCTGGCCTTTATAATATGCGAAGTTTGAAGAGCTTAGTGAATTGCCATGAGTACTCCTCCCCCCCATCCCTTTTAGAAGACAAAAGAGCTCATTTCAAGAGGAGATGAATTTTTAAAAGTGGGAGCAGTTATGATACCAAGAGCAAAATTTTGGTGTCATTACTCAGTTTATAACTGCCTGAAGAACTGGATATCAAATGATCACTGTTTTGAAGTTACCCAACTTCAAAATCAATGAAACTGGTTCAGATATACCTATGTGTGGTATAACTTTTTCTGAAAATGCAAATTTAGACTTTTATGACTTAGTAAGAGACATGAGGTAGTTTTCGTGTTTGGAGGAAAAAATACACTAAACTAATAATCAGCCCAGTTTTGAATTGTACTCTGGCCCCCAGCAAGGTCAGCAGTAGAATAATAAGCAGGTGAAGATATTAGCCCTGGCACAGTCTGCAAATGGAACCTTCTGCAGTTAAGTGGTCTTCCCCAGGTCACAGGGCTAGTTCAGAGTGAGGGCTTAAAAAACCCCTATTTTCATGGGTGAAGGGGTCTAGAGGGTCTCAGGGGGTCTGGCCTCGAAGGCATAGTACATGGGGCAGAAAGGAGGGAGTGCCAACTGCAGAGTCATTTAGAGACAACTTAGGTTCAAATCCCAACTCCCTCAGTTATGACTCCAGGACCCTGGATATAGCTCATACTTGCCTTCTGTCATGATACTATTACTGACCTCACTGCATTGTCCTGAGGTTTAGAAGGCAGTTTTTAGCATCTAATACAACAGTTGATTGTTAAATACTAGTGTCAGGCACATCATAGACATTCAATAAACATGAGCTTTTTCCACTTCATTTCAGGGGTACACAATCTCTAGCACTGCTTTTAAACATGAATTTTTAGCCACTTTGATGGGACCAGACGTTAGTTAGGTCAAGGAAGTTAGTTAGTTAGTTAGTTAGTTAGTTAGAAGTCAAGTTAGTTAGTTAGGTCAAGGAAGGGTTGGGGAGGCTTGGCAGTACTTTTGGTGAGTTTGGACTGAGCTTCAGAAAGGCAACATCATTCATGTGGTGGGATTTGGGTGGCACTCAAGATTCTTGCCCCAGATTTTCCATTTCCCTTATACTGTATTTCAACATGCCTGAAATTTTGTCATCAAAACGTCTTTCCTTTGAATGTTTTTAGATTGTCCTGTTAAAAATCCAATTCCCTTCAAGGGTCAACATCACAAGGCATTACCACCTAACACCTTAGCAAGGATGAATAGACCCCACGGGTAGCTTGCTGATGACAGGGCTCCACAGAAAGTAAAATGGGGGCCATGGGGGTGCAGGCATACCTTTCAGAAGGTTGTGAGATGAAAATCAGGCAGATTCATGAGGAACTTTCCTTACCAGAAGGGGGAGATTCAATTCTCACTAGTTCTTTCTTTTTTTTTTTAATTCTTACTAGTTCTTTCTGTGACAGAGTCAAGAACAGAAAAGCAAGTTTTATTAATAAAAAACATGAATACTTATCACGTGCTAGACACTCTCCCAAGTGTTTCATGTATTAATACTCAATATTAATTATGAGGTACGTATGATTTGTATCCCTATGTGTAGTTGAGGAAGCGAGGCTTTAAAGATATTGATTCAGGGGATCCCTGGGTGGCGCAGCGGTTTAGCGCCTGCCTTTGGCCCAGGGCGCGATCCTGGAGTTCCGGGATCGAATCCCACGTCGGGCTCCCGGTGCATGGAGCCTGCTTCTCCCTCTGCCTGTGTCTCTGCCTCTCTCTCTCTCTCTGTGTGTGTGTGACTATCATAAATAAATAAAAATTAAAAAAAATAAAGATATTGATTCAGACTTGGTCCTGGGAAATATACTTGATCAACATCTCTAAGCCTCGATCCCCCCACTCGTCAAGATAGAGTGGAAGGAAGGGCAGAGTCCTCCCAAGAAGTGACTTATCCTTTCTGTTCTTTTTCCTCTTCCTCCTCACCCTTTCTCTGCTTTTTTTCTTTTTAAACCCAGCGTATCCAAAGCACTACATATAAGCAAGTGAGTTATGGTAAAATCACTTTTAAAAAAAACTGCTGTTGAATATGGGAATACGTTGGAAAATCTTCAGTGGGTAGAACTTGGGGATTCCAGTTTGCTGTCTGTTGAGCGCCTTCGCTCATTTGAAACCTGACTGTTCAGTGCGGACACCCTCTTCTGGGTTCCCGGCCCACCACCGCTCGCATCGTCAGCCCGTGGTAACGTGCAGTCTTCTTTCTCTTCGCCTGCCACCGGAGTGAGCGCGCTGCAGGGAGGTCTGGGCTTTGGAGTCCAGCAACTGCGTGGGAGGTCTTGGTTCAAACATTTCTCAGTTGTATGACTTGGAGAAATTTAGGAGAGAATTTTCTGTGCCTTGTTTTGTTCATCAGTAAGGATAACACTACGTTGAAAGATTTGTTGTGATTTAGAAATAACAGCTGTTCAAAGCCAGATACGCCTCATATGGTGTAGGTGGTCACTACGTAGGAGCCATTTCTACCCAAACTGGGGTTAATTAATAAGCAGGGGTTGCCTCTTCTGTCTCTTTGCTGTCTTCCTTCTCTTTCAACTAGACAACTCATATTAAATATATCATCAATTACAGCAGTATTTCTACCAGCTGCTCTTGAGCTGAGTCTTTCAAATCATGATCTTAAAATAACATCAGTATGTCTCTCTCTCTCTTTCTCTCTCTCTCTCCCCCTTCTGTGCCGTATAGGTTCCACTTTAACTCCATCATGTCCTTCGGCAGAGACATGGAGCTGGAGCACTTTGATGAGCGGGATAAGGCTCAGAGATACAGCAGAGGGTCGCGGGTGAATGGGCTGCCCAGCCCAACGCACAGCGCCCACTGCAGCTTCTACCGAACCCGCACACTGCAGACCCTCAGTTCTGAGAAGAAGGCCAAGAAAGTTCGTTTCTATCGAAACGGAGATAGATACTTCAAAGGGATTGTGTATGCCATCTCCCCCGACCGCTTCCGATCATTTGAGGCCCTGCTGGCTGATTTGACCCGAACTCTGTCGGATAACGTGAATTTGCCCCAGGGAGTGAGAACGATCTACACCATTGATGGACTCAAGAAGATTTCCAGCCTGGACCAACTGGTGGAAGGTGAGCGCTAACTCCCAAGTGACCCTAGAGGATGCATTCTTGTGTTTCTACATTGTTCTAGGCACCTGCGCTTGATTGATCTCTAAGAGGTAGCATCCAGCCTGTGCCTGTGATCCTTATTGTTCACATTTTGGGAGTTCACTTTGTTTACTGTAGTTTAAAATGAAAAAACAAAACAAAACAAAAAAACAAGCCCACTAATGGTATTAGGTCGGCCATCTTACAATAATGGACTGAGGGGAAAAATTGTCTTAATTCTCCAACATTCTCTGTTCCTTTTGTCATTCTCATGCTACATTTTCAAAGTCCCTTTTTATATCTGGAATCACATTGTTCATATTCATTTCTAGATGCAAATGAATTTCTGTTGTTATGATGTCTGAAATTACTTGAACTGAAAATAACTAATGGATCGTGAAATTTTTTAGTGTAAAGGAGCCTTATATAGGCATCAAACCCATTAATTCTGTCACTAGAGACTGAGGCCCAGAAAATTCGAGTGACACGTCTGTGGTTACATGGTAAGGTAGTATTGATACTGGACTAAAAATTAGGTTTTCTGGCATTTCTTTCCAATATGGTTTCTCCTCTTAAGTTTAAAGGATTGTTGTCTTTCTGTGGTATTTGAAGGTACAAAGGAGTTAATCTGTTCAGCTTATTGATTTTCAAAGTCGAATCTGTGTTATTGATCATTATCTGTTTTAGACATTTCACGTGAAGTGGAACGGTTTGAGTCATGGATGAGGCCTAGTGTCTTGAGTAGCAGCGTAGGTAGACTTGCTTCAGCACCAGCTCCATGTGAACAGCACAGAGAGCCTCTAGTGACCTTAGAAATCATAAGCAAAGTAAAATGACTTGAAGAGAGATAATGGGTAAAATTCATGCTAAGGTGTAAAGGAGGTTGGCTGATCCTCTTTGGGGTATAGGAGTTTCTAAGTCTGGTGCTAAGGTTATGAAGTAGCTCTCAGTGCAGAGGAGCATGGTAAAAGAAGTTTAGAGTTTTCAAAGTGTTTGACTTCACCCTGAGTTCATATTTACTCTAGACGTATTGCCAGGCCCTGTTGTCTTACTGGGTCCTGGAGGAATGCCAACCATGTAATGTCCTCCCTCTCTCCTGCAGGTAGCAGGAAGCATCCCTTTCAGGATCCCATGGAGTGTGGGGTTCCTCTGCCCTGACCACACACAGGCCAGCCCTCTTGTCCTCCTCTCGAACCAGAGTTCGTACGTGATTCAAGGCCAAGGGAGTCTCGTGTCTTTCTCCCATTTTCCTTCCCTTTATCCCTTGGCAGGGATGCCAGTCCAGTCACAGTATGACTGGACTTGAGAGGGTGTGGAGAGCCTGGGTTTGGTGTGTTGACTATGTGGGAATTCACATCTCTTTTCAAAGACTCGTCACCCTGCCAAGATGCCTGTAGACTTGGCCTTTTTCCTCCTATTCAGATGTTGGCACTTTCAGTAAATTAAAGGGGAAGAACAAACATGAAACTGCATCAGCTTTGATTTTTGTGCTCTGTCCTTTTCCTGACCTTGGAAAATACAGGGATAAAGAAAACATTTGGTGGGCTATTCTCAGGGATCTGAATAAGATGAAATGCAAAGTCAGGTGCATGATCAGTCACCAAACCATCCCTTGGAGGACTGATGGTAGTATAGACAGAATATGCCAGGATATCAACTCACATTGTCAGGCAGCCAGCCTTGGCTCCTCACTCTGTCCTAGAGTCTGACTACTTGTGTGGCATCTATGCAGTGGGGTGGTGTACTTCAGTCAGTTGTCCACCCAGAACTGCTCTTCACCAAGAAGTGGCCAGAGATATTCCCTCGGTTCCTGTCCACAAGGGAGAGGGCGTGAGGCGTGGGAAACAACAGTTCTTTACATACAAGGACCAGCAAAATCATGGCATACTTGCCACCATCTTCTTTGTTAGTTTTTAAACACAAAAGAATGCCTGCTCTAAGAGACTGCTGTCCTGGGATAATAGTGGTAGCTCACAGTTATGGAGCATGTGTCTTGTATATACGAATACATTTAATTCACACAATGACCCTAGCAGCTGGGTACTGTTAGCATCCATATACCATGATGAGAAATGTGAGGCATGGTGTGTTAAATGATCTGCAAAAAGTCACACACCAAGAAATAGAAGTTAGGATTTGAACCCAGGAAGGCTGGTACCAGAGCTTGAGCTCATACCTGCCACTAATAAGATACCAAGTGGGGTATTCTTAGTGGCTTTTAAATGAAATTTTATTGTATGAGATTATTCTTGAAAACAAATGTTTTTAACTTTGACTTAATTCCAGGAATTACAGCTACTGCACCTAGAAGCGTTTACCTTAATATTTTCATTTACCTCCAAATGGTTTTCTCTCCAGTCAGTATGAAGCTGTTGCATATTGACTATTCTGATGTTAAAAAAATGACTTTTTGGGAAAAAAAATATCTGATTGAATGAATGATAACTTTAGTATAGTGTATAAGTTCACATATTGGCTGCGTTTTTTTAAAATCCAGTTTAAACAGTTTTTTTTTCCTCATTTATAATTCTGACAGCATGCAGCTGCACTTAGTGTTGAAGTAGCTGGAAATTCATTTAGATTGGCCTCTTTGTCAATTACATTTTTGCTTAGTCTGTTAAAATGCAAACGGTTGCTTCATATTCATCATTAGGTTCATATCTCTCACTTTACATACTAATTTTATGTAAACGTCAATGCATGTTATTAGCTTCTCGTTTCCCCCTTCCAATATGCTGATGTTTGAGTTTTAAATTAAATCCTTTTAGTGGATGCAGTGACAAGTGTATTTGACTTGCGATTGTTTTTTTTTAAGCTTGTTCTTTCTCACTTACCACAGACTAAAAATTCTGAATTACAATGACATATGTGAGTTTATTTATAACAGTCTCATGGTCACTTGCACTGTTTTGTTATTATTATCCACAGATTATTATGCCTAAATTTGGTTTAAGCACATTGACAGAGATGGCTCTTTGCCTCAAGTATAAATGTATGAGTGAGTGTGTATGTGTATGTGTACATATAACTGTATGTCTTTATGCATCTGTGTATAAACACACACACATGCACACGCATATGTAAGAGCAGACATTGGATAGCAGTTTTCATTTTTTGCTTTCAAAATGGCCTTAATACACTAGGAAAGCCAGATAATTAATAGGGAAAGTTGAATTGCAGTCGTATTTCTGCAAGTGGTTCACCTTGAGACTTGGCCTCATTTTCCCAAAATTGCCTCTTTTCCCCCAATTTTACATTCTTTATGTTCCATTATAAGTGTGTAAATGTTGTGAAGGTAAATGAAGGAATAATATTTAAAACCTTTGAACTCTTAGGAGAAAGGTATAGTATGAATCCCAAGCATTGATTGATTGATTTTTTTCTTTATCAGATGCTCAAGCATCAGTAACATTGTGTTGGGGGTGAGCCATCCATGCTCCCTACTTTTTTTTTTTTAAAGATTTTTATTTATTTATTCATAGAGACACAGAGAGAGAATGAGAGGCAGAGACACAGGCAGAGGGAGAAGCAGGCTCCATGCAGAGAGCCCGACGCGGGACTCCATCCAGGGTCTCCAGGATCACGCCCTGGGCTGCAGGTGGCGTAAACCACTGAGCCACCGGGACTGCCCCATGCTCCCTGCTTTTAAATAGTCTTTATTTTTAGTGTAGTTTTAGGTTCAGAGCAAAATTGAGCCGAAGGTACAGAGATATCCCATATATTCCCTTCCTCAACACATGAATAGCCTCTCCTATTGTGATCAGTGTGGTGGGGCGTTATAATTGATGAATCTACATTGACACATCATTATCACCAAAAGCCCATAATTTACATTAGGGTTCACTCTTGGTGTTGTGTGTTCTGTGGGTTTTGACAGCGATGTAAAGACATGTAGGCACTATTGCAGTATCATCCAGAATAGTTTTACTGCCCTAAAAATCCTCTGTGCTCTGCCTTTTCATCCCTCCCTAAGCCCTGGTAACCATTAGTATATTTGGTATCTTCAATAGGCATTCTTTTAACATCTTGTGTGAATGTGGATAGAAGAGGGCCAGGGCATTTCCTGTAGACATTAACATAAATACTATTCAGATATGTTGTCTTTTGGATATAAATAAGTTAATTTGCACATCAATTCTTTTTTTTTTTTAAAGATTTTATTTATTCATGAGAGACACAGAGAGAGAAAGAAAGAGGCAGAGACACAGGCAGAGGGGGAAGCAGGCTCCATGCAGGGAGCCTGATGTGGGACTTGATCCCGGGACTCCAGGATCACACCCTGGGCCAAAGGCAGATGCTCAACCACTGAGCCACCCAGGTGCCCCTGCACATCAATTCTGTACGTATTAGAAATGAGTCCCCTTCTTTCTCAGCTCTCACGCACCTTGACCCCTCACTTCATGGACACTGTCTGACTCTGGAGCTGGAGTGTCAGGGCTGTTCCCAAGTCTCTGAAAAGAGTCAGCCTCTCAGGAGCAAGCCCACACTTTACCCCACAGTTAGGGAAGCTCTAACCACTACTTCCGGTCACCCAGCTCTCCTGGCAATTTTTCTTTCCCTTGATATGGTGTCATTGATACCTTTCTCTAATTCACTAGCTTCTTCTATGCCTCTCTCTGCTATATGAAGATTTTAAAATTAATTCTGGATGGCTCTAAAGCATTTTCTCTCGAAAATCCCCCTCCAGCAAACAGTTTTACTAGTGTTGTTGTTGTTGTTGTTGTTTTTGAGTATCATCTCAGAGGTACCAGTGCATATTGAGGATATACATATCATTTGCCCAGAGGGTAACTTACTGTATTCACAGTTCCGTACCTTGCTTTGTGCACCTAACAATACATTATATTATACATCTAGGACTGCTGTGTCCTTTTACTGACTTCATAGTATTCCTTTATACAAATGTACCCTAATTTATTTGGCCAGTCTTTTATTGAGGAGCTTTTATTCATAGGCTATGACCAATCCTTTATTAGACACAA